TGAATTGTCGCGCTTCGTGCGACGGGGTGATGAGCTAAGGCGGCTGCGCTGCTTACGGTCTAGAGAGAGCTTCTTTACTTGGCGTTGTACTGACGCTATTTGCGATGATAAAGCATCGATTGCTGATGACTCACTAATCGCGGATGTCGCTGTTGTTGCGACGGGGTTAAGTCTAGTGAATGTTCTAGGTTCGTTCGTTAGCTGATGTCGTTCGATGACACGGGCTACTAGTTCTGCAAATGTTGCGAGATGCAGGGCGCATGCCATGGCGAGAATGGCCTGTGTGTTTTCTGGGAGATATTGCATCCACATTTCAAGGAGAATCCCAGCCTCCATGCTGGATGTGCCTAGGAGCTGTTGCATCGATCTCAGCAAGAAGGAAGGCATCCTGTCCCCTAGCTGCAGATCCCTAAACAGTTGCTTCAGTCGGACCTTGTCAGAGAGCGTGATTCGCTGGATGATCGCCTGCTTTAAAGTCATATTTCGCATCGGGAGGGGGCAAGCTATGGTGTTTCTCACCTGAGAGGATACACCCTGCGGAAGCCGAGACATAAGTTGATGGTATTTAGCATTAGCAGAAGAAATTCTACAAATGTAAAAAGTGTATTCTAAATGCACAAACCATAACAACGGGCCATTCTCCCAGAAAGGTGGAGCGGCTAGCTTTACGGCACTAACCACGTACGTAGATAGTTTATCGTCAGAATAATTCATCGTGAGAAAGGAATAAGTATACGCGCCAGTTGAGAAAACAAAACGATAGCGCGTCATGAATCAAAGTCACTGGAAGGAGCTTAGCAGAATGGAATTCAAACTAGCAAACGGCGTGTCCTGGACCGGGGTCACCAATTGTTGTGTAGCGCCTGAGATACTAGTCGGTAACCAATGACACATAAGAGCCGTGTCAAATACGGGGCAGTATAGAAGTTGGAGGCGACTGAACCCAACGTGTATTGTGCAGGCTACAAAAATAGGAAGCGAATTAATCAGACCGAGGAACGGTGCAGCAAGCTACTCAACAAAACCATTTGTGTCAACGGAAGTGCTATCAGTAAAGCAAGTAGACGTTTTGAAGGTTAAAACAACCGTAAAATCCAATGTTGCAACATACTGAAAGGCCGAGTTTTACAGTACACTACATACTCAATCTATGGTCCGTGTTCGCTTTCTTATCACTAGCAAGCCATCCTAAATTTAGCAATGTGTCCTCACAAGCCATCCAAGGAGTTGTTATCGCTCTAACTGCTTAAGAACGCGATTTAGCCGTTACTTCGAATTCTGACTTCGAGGAAGCTAAACGTGATCGTAATCACCGTTGCATTAACTTTTTCGAGCTTCCAGGAATACAATACCAGTGTCAACAAACCCGTTCGACCTAGATTGTGAAATAAATGTCGCATGTTTGATGGCGCGTCACCTCATATGTTGAAACGAGTTGTGCTTTAGGCCGAAGACTATAAGATAGATTTCAGATGCCTTTTGTGCACAGCTACAAAGAATAGAAGCCTATCCCTTCTGCTAGATAAATTAATACCAGCTCTTCTTGCTCCAATACTTCCGGCCTCTTCAGTTTATCTTATTGCTTCCGTCGCATTGTTTGGGCAATGCGCACATCTGCTGTTGAACTACCTGACATTCACAGTGAATAACTGCTTACTACACACGTCTAAAAGCCAGTGTCTACACATCCTGTCATGTTGCCTCTGGAATGCACATTTAATGTGTGCGCCTTCCGATTCTGTATAGTATTAGATAAAGGGTGGTGTAGTTTTGATGTGCTGAGGTCTCAGCGCGAGAACAATGTAACCAGTAGTCAATATGCGTCTTCCACCCTTGTCACTACAGGTATTAACATTCAGAATTTAAGATCACGGATAGCACCCTTCGGGATTCACACTATTGTTAAATATTGTGACGGCATATTTTCTTCAGCAATCTTCAATCCTATTAAGTAACAATTGCAATTGTTTGTAATAATTCGTTTCATCTGTTTAACAGTAGTGTACTTTTAACTACTTAGGTTTACTGGTTTGCACCAATTTTCCCAACTTTACTTTATTGCCATGTGGTTCCTATGGCTAATTGCTGTTTGCTTGTGCGAGGCATACGGACAAAAATGGTGTTAAGAGGTGGATTATGGATATGTTTTTACTGGCGGCAGTGAAATCATTAAAATATAAAAGCGTACACTTATATATATATACATATATATATATAGTACTGGGTCTAATCACTTACATTATATGTAGCCTTTCATCTGTTACTAAGCTGCAAAATGCTCCATACTATTTTGTGTTCAGTTCAAGATGGCAAATTCTGATTCTCTGTTAAATTGCTGTGGTAGTAGTAGTAGTAGTAGTGGTAGTAGTAGTAGTAGTAGTAGTAGTAGTAGTAGTCTTACTAGTCTAGTTAATAGACATAGCGCCAACAGAAGCCATGGAGATTAGCGGATAAGGGGCAGAGTCCCTGCGTCAAAATCCTCTGGGTACAGTAGTTAAAGGTGAGCAACGCATTTCAGTTACTGTGCCGCAGGAAGAAAGGAACATTTTTTTATTTTCCGCTTGCGGTGCCCTTTAAGCTTTTTATTAGTAAACATTACTTTTTAATTTAAGCAATTATGTACGTCACATGTATATATCCAGAAATGGACATAGGGCCCTCACGTAAACCATGCAAATCAACGGAACCTACAAGTTTACAAAAAATGGAACAAGACATTTTTCTTTTGTTTTTCACACGCCGAGTTTCTATCTTTTGTCATTTTTAATGTTTGATGTATTAAACACGCGAAGCAATACAATTCTGTATACAATTTTTACTCTGGTTACGGTTGCAGGTCATGTCTTCAAGCATGTTAAACCACTGGCACTCCTCATCCTCGGGTCCCCATCCTGGAAGGCGTACGGGTCCAACGGCTGCTAGACGCAATGTCAGCGATTTCATGGGCTGTCGCTAATTTGAAGGCTGACCACCACGAGGTTGCATCCAGCCAGGTCCTTTTCGAGCAAAAAGAGCTCGAAGCAGTAGAGCTTAGGTCTCATGCCTAGTACCAAGCCATCTCAACTGACGCAACAAAACTAGTTTGTTGTTGGAAATTCTCGAATTCCCCAAGATGCAATGTGGAACGTCATCACTGTGAACTCGTTGTTTGCACCAGATATGAGCGATCCTCCTTAAGCAACCGATGTCGAAGGTAGAAAGGCGAGGCATTTCATCCACGCTAATTGGTCAGGACTCGATCTCATACAACCTTAATGAACGAACGGATAGGATGTAAACACGGTCCTTTAGTTAGAATGCCATTTGCAACGACGCCACAATTGCCTCAGATTGGCAATTGCTGAGCAGGCGTTAGCAATGCGTAGAGTAAATTCCTTGTTGGTAGTGCCGGTTAACTTGCTATACAGTATTTAGGAACTCTTCTTGAGTGTTTGCTTCACAAATAGTCATAGCTTTTCTTTTAGTAACATCTTTGTTGGGTTTTCCCATTTCATTTCATTACTAGCCTCGTACAAAAGATTAGTACGAGGATTCCCGGTAAAGCTTGTGGATTAGATACCCGAAGTCACAAACCTGAAGGACTCGTGACAATCCAAGGGATTTTGCTCGGACCCATTTACTTGATGTGCTAGCCAGCATAATAGTAAATTTTGACCCACTTAGAGAGCTCAATCTAGTGACCCTGCAAGTGTATACTTGCGGTTGATAACACAACTCTATCATTTGCACTTAATTTTTGGTGGATCTAGCGGTATTGTGAAGTACAAGTTGACGACTGCGGTCAAATGGAGCTGCATTTCTTTTAATTTGTGCCCTATTTTTCAGTGGCTTCTCGGTTAAAGGCTAGTGGTAGCGAATCCGTGGACAAGCTTGCGCTACAAACGTCAGCGATAACGCATGGTGCTTCTACCTAACGCTAATTCATTTCCGTAGAACATGCGTCTACGCTTGCATTTCGTGGCTGCATGCGCCAGATACTTATGAAAAGCTTGCGTAATTACTGTCCAGTGACCATTATTACATAGGCGGCCCTTAAGAAACCTGAGATTGTCACCTGCTCTACCTGCATGCTACTTTGGGCTGCGTAAACCATTGCTTCACGTTAGATTTTACTCCTACGGAAATAGAAACGATGGTCACAAGCGACTACTTACTCGACATTTTAATCGGGCCTTAAGCTGAAATATTATATTCACACATCGTTTTGAGCGTCCGAAAGAAACAATGTCCTTTTATTCGTATACGCTCGCAATTATCTGCCATAATTTTATTCCTTCCGATAATGGCTGATGCTTATACTTACCATGGCAGAAATCGAATTAAGACAGCTAACGATGAATATCGCCGAGTTGGTACAGCTGATGAGAACATTAAAAATGCCTTGCTGGTTGACGTAGCTCTGCCTTATCGATGCAGTTTATGCTCATCTGGAGACCCCGTTAACTGTAACTTAGCAACGCGGGTTAATGACAAGCCATCTCTGCGTGAGTACTTGGACAAACAGTCGTTTGCGTAACTGGTGCCTTTTCATCGGCCTAACACTTCTTTATATCTTTTCGTCTGAACAAATCAATCTACAAGATTTTCCAAGCGCCGCTTTACGCATTAAAGATGATGGTCGGGCGGGCAGATTTACTAGGCTGCATGCTGCTTGTATAGTTAGTAAATGTAGATAAGTATTTGCGAAAGTTTGTTCTTCCTGTTCTATCATACTAAATTTCGTTGTGTAACTGCATGGGGAGCCTTCACCTATGTACATTGCGATGGCACGATCTTGTTAAGGCGTTTAGAAAAGATTATTAGGCGGCTTCTATTTAGAGAGAATAGAGAGAACAGCTCATGAACAGAAAATAAGTTGTAGGTATCGGAATGGATAAAATTTGCCTGTAACTTTACCAAATCCGCTGTGTATTTCGAAGTGTTTTTTCAAATAAAATTTCACTACGCACCTTGAAAGCTGGATGCGCCAGCGTTGTTCACACGTTTTGTTGTTAGTCTTGATGGCCGTCTCTTGTTTGTCATCAGGTTTTCCCACTGCTACCGGACAAGTAAGTTTGAACTGAGTGCCTTCAACCTTGCGGTAAGGCTCCTGCATCGATACTCTATTAGCGTTGTTGCTATCAACCAAAGGGATAATAGGTAATACACAACCCAACCTTGCTTTTTCTGTGGAGCATAGGATCTATCTTTTAAGTGATTAATCCCATAGTTTTGCACAAGGCAGAATTTTATCCTGAGGATTTAGCTCTTGATGCTCGTTACAATGCTTAACTTTTTTTAATTCCACGCGCATATGCTGTCTGTTTACTCTGGACCAGTTGAGGATACCAGCTGCAGTGCTGGTTGTAAGACGGGCACCTCCCAGATAGCTACTGATGTAATTGACGGTCTCCCTGGATATGCTCACAAAATAGTCGGATGTAAAATTATAGCTGAGTCGTCGCATGTGAGGTCTGCGGTGGTTCCACACTTCCCGCGAAACGTTAATTTGGTAGATTTCTCCGTTTTGCTTAGGGTCCAATATTGGGTCCATTTCTTTCTTTCGTCTGACATTAAGGGAGTCTCTGATATCTTCTATGACAATATAACTGTATACTTAAGCATACTTGCCTCCTGTGATAATACGAGAGCCTCCTCTAAGTACGCTAATAACGCAAAGGACATTCGGAAAATGCGAGCGCTAACTCGAAAATATGAGCGTACTCACGACTTCAGTGTAGTACTGAGAGTTCAACACCTTCTAATAGAGACGGACATGAAACACCACGCCCGTCTCATGCAGGAAGAACCACGGGCTGTAAATAGTAGTAATACAAGTCACTTGGTGACCGCATTATTGAGAAAAAGAAGAGGTGGCAAAACTGATCTAACCTCCCACATCATCATGCCTGAAGGCGAATGCATCGGTTCCCCAATAGCCATGGCAGAAGCCTTTAACTCATACTTTGCTAGATCATTTAATCTTGAAAAATAAACCATGGCATCGTCAACCTCGTTTCACTTCTATGAACAAGTTTCAGCGATCGAGCTTAGTTTCTCTACGATAAAACGTATGCTTACCTGTCTACGACCATCCTACAGACCAGGCCCCGATGGTACCTCTTCTGCTTTAGTCAAACACGGTGGAGATGACATCCCTCTTGTATTATTAAATATCTTCTCTTTGTCTCTCCAGTCTGGTCAATATCCCGAACGTTGGAAAACGGCTACAGTTATACCGCGACATAAGTCCGGGTCGAAAACTGACATCCGGAACTACCGTCCCATTAGTCACACAGCCATTCTCTCACGCATGCTAGAGAGAATTGTTAAGGTATATTTGGTTTCGTTTCTAATATCACGCAAACTTCGCTCACCTTCACAGCATGGCTTTCTGAAGTCCAGCTCGTGTGTTACCTGTCAAGCTGACTTCCTTAACCATCTAGCTGAAGCAATTGGCTCAGGTCTTCAGTGCATTGTCATCTTCCTCGACATGCAAAAGACGTTTGACAGAGTCCCACACAAAAAGCTGCGATATAAATTAAGTAAGTACAGTGTAACAAATCCGCTTAACTCTTGGATTAAATCGTACCTAGTAGGACGGTCGTACGTAGTGGGTATCAATGGTTACATCTCTTCAGCTCGTCTGGTCACCAGTGCAGTGGTACACGGCAGTGTCTTAGGTCCGTTACTCTTCCTACTGTACATAAAAGACCTCGTTACTGTTATCAAATTTGGAAAGCTTTATTTGTTTGCTGATTATTTAAAGGTGGTTTACACGTTTCCAGGTTTTCAGCGTACCGCTGAACTTAACAATATCCAAAGCGACTTGAAAGCCATTGAGAGATGGGCTGATATGTGGCGGATGACATTTGCAACATCGAAGTGTAGTATTCTAGCGTATGGATGTCAGAAAGCAGCAGAAGTGTTCAGGCTTCATGACGAAGTCATTCCCGTCAGCCAGTCTGTTCGTAACTTAGGTTTAAGATATTCTAGTTCGTTAAACTTTAGCGAACATACAAATCATATCATGAAAAAGGTTAAGCAGTCGGTCGGGCTCATATGCCACCTGTTAACCTTGAAAGAAACCAGACTAATTGCTTTCAAAACCAGTATCTGGCCTTTGCTTGAATATTGCTGTGCTGTGTTCAGTAACTTGCGGAAGGCTGACTTGAGAGCCATTGAAAACGTCCAATGCGCCTTTACGAAGCGCATATTTGGTTGTTCAACCGCTCTTTCATACAGAGATAGGTGCAAGCAGTTGAATCTGCAACCTCTGTGGTTACGAAGAATGCAATTAAATCTGTGACTCTTCCACAAACTCGTGTGGCGAAAAGCATATGCTGGAACCTACCAATTGCACTTTCGGGCAAACACCATTTATGAACTGCGAGATAATGAATGCATATTCTATTTACGTAAATTCAAGAGCAATCTAAGGAGAAATTTCTATCTCCTTAGGTAGGAATCCGTTTGGAATAAGCTGCCAAAAGAGATTAAATGTATTGGACATTTCGGCATGTTCAAGAAAATGATAAAGGTTTACCTGTCAACGGACAGAGCGAAGTGGATCTTAAAAATTCAAGATGATGAAACGCTGTATGAAGAAGGGCCGGATCATGTGTGATACCGGAGAACATCGACTCGAATGCACCAGAGAAAACATAATCAGCTAGGATGAGCTGTTACAAACCGCTTCTTATGCTGTTCCTTAACGCTACCTTCTATGCGGTTTTACTCCTTTTAAACTTAATTCATACCAACTGTCTTCTGTTTAAAACCGAGAACAAAATTATTTACTGGAGGGGCGTCAGGAATTATTTTCGTAATTTTCCCTACAAATTGATTAATTTTAATATTGTTCTGCGAGCCCTTTCGCTACATTTGTTCTCCAGTGCTAATCATTTCCCCTTCTTTTCTGAAGTTAACGGTCCAGAAACATATACTTGAATTCAGCGATTCCCTATGCGACTTTTGCCTATGGACAACTCGTACAGTCATCTGTCTCCGGCTGTTACGCCACAATTTGATCGTATGGTCGGTTTGATCTATTTCTACGCCGATGTGAAAAAACATACCTGACAATTTTTTACATTAAAGTTATAGTACCTCTTTCACATAACTGTTTCTACATTCTTCCTTATTTCATTGTTGGCCACGACTGGGCTGATCTTCTGTGGTGACGGATTATAGCTTCCAGATTATAAGAGACTTTACCTATGAAAGGCACATTGCTACAAATTGACTGGCGTAGAAAATTATGCTATAATTAAATGATCCGCATGACGGACCGGGCTGAGGCTTCATCGCTCATAACACATGTGTAAAAGCAGCCCTAAAAGGAGCAGAACATATGATAAACAGGTGATGGCTCATATGCTGCTATGTCACACCGGTACGCGGCCAGATATTGCATGGAAGTGCGGGCGAAACCTTTCGAGGGAATACCTTGCATGGAAGCAGGTCCCCTGGGAATGGTTCCACGAGCGGCCGTATTACTTTAACTGGACATCTGTTTAACTCTGCTTACGTTATTGTTCCTGCTTTTTAATTTCCTTAATGCCTTAATCCTGCCAATTAGTTTAGTATCTGTTTTGGATCCACTCTAAAAAGCGTGAGCAAATTGATTATTCTTTGCGATCCTGTTGTACACATTGATCAGAACACATAGTTGGACTGCACCTCGAATCACCGAGGAATAAAACGTTTATTTATTTATTTGTCTTGAGCTTGATTTCTACTTCCCGGGATCACGTACAATTTTCTTCAATTTACTGCGTTTCAAGATAAGGTTTAAAGGTTAACTCGCAACTTGGCAGTATGCTCCTTATCAGCGCGCCATCAAAAGCACTCGACTTGAGCAAATGGATATTTTGTTTACCTTGGGTGCACTGTCTCTACAGACGGAACGTTTGGGTCGGAGGTGTCTCCGCATAAGTAAAGCTTGCTTGATTTTGGTTAACCTAAGACACTTGTGGCTTAATCGTGTCATCTCACCTTTGCTAAAAGGCTGGGTCCACAATATCTGTCTTCGTGTGATACTCTGTATGGATGCGAATCCCGGCCGATCTGAGTGGACGACATGCGTAGGCTTTCGGCCTTAGACTGTGGCTGTTTACGGAAGATCGTCCATGGATGGGTAGGACATCAAGTACTCAAGGATGACATCAAAAAATGCATCTTTAACAAGGCGGATCCACTCTATGAGCTTGTTCCGTTGGCTATTTGAGAAGTCTTGACTACGTCCAGTGCACGTTTGGCAAGCGATTGCCACACGTCGCTCTATTTGTGCATGCAGGGCTGCATTTAAAAAAGCTGTGTGGGGTTTAGCCGAACACCTGGCGACAAAGCAGGAAACCGCTGACATCCTGTCTATCAGCTGCTAGTGTGGTACGTCCTCCCGATTGGGGACCGAAGAATAAGAATCCCGATGCAATACGACACTCGAAACAGTGGTGCAAAACCGGCTGCAGTTGTAACAATGCGTAGAAGCCTACGTAAACACTCGAATTTAAAATTACTAACTTATTAAAACCGATAAGTTTTGAAAAATGGGGTGTGAACAAGACAAACACTTCTTCTTTGATTCATCATTACTTTTTAACCTTGTGGTACACATCCCTGTTCTTAATTAAAGTTCCATAGTTTTGCATGGCTGAATCCTTATTTTATTGACGATGCTTATACATACATCTATTGTATTCCAACATGTTGCTGAACTTGCTTCATGGATGTACGACTCTTTTGGAAAGTGAGGCTGATATTAAATGTATACGTGCAAATCATCCTGTGCTACAGAGCCATCAAACATATAACTGCTTGCCACCTTGCACCTCCATCAGGATGACTTAACAATTTTCACTCTTGTGCCGTTTACGATGCGTTAACTAGTAATAGTGTGAGTCTTTTCACCTTTTGCTTGTTCTTAGTACTGCTACAAGAGACCAATTTTGCTGTTATTTAACTCTACACTTGGATACAGAGCTGAAAACAGATTTCGCAACAATGCTTTCAAACACACATATCTAAACCATTGGACCGCAACGCTCCGTGAACAGCAGTTGGATAATACAAATAATGGTCCAACTCAGATTAGGATTTGTCAATGCACACATGCACGGCAGTCTGAAACATCGGAAGAGCGATATTTGGTTTAGCTCTGTTGGAACGGTTGGTTAACTCATACTTTTCTAAACGTTGCGGCATCAAGTGAACCGGAATGTTTGGCTGAAAACTAAAAATGATGATTATCCTCACTGCGTATTCAGTTCATAATACTTTACCCGATTCTTGTGTACCGAGAAATAAAGGTGCCAGCTGACCAGTTCATATCCATTTGGTACGATTAATGGATTATTTGACCCATTTTGAAAAGTTCTCGGGCAAACTTGAAGGCAACTACAGTTCCAAATAGAATTTACCATGAACATCTTTATGAATCAAGCAGCCGATCAATAAAGTTTGGTCTCTTCAACAGGCAGCAGAGGAAGTTGCAAAGATTGAGCGGCCGGGAAGCCCAATTATATGGAAAATCAGCTGGAGTCCGTCCAAGTAAGCCCCTATTGACTCGTTTCTGTTTCCCGTATCTTTAACCATACTTGAATCTGTAGTGCCTAAAGTTAAGGACTATTCGGTTCTTTAGGTAGGCAAGGGACGAAACGGATGAGTCCTGCATTGGATGCATTGTGCAGTCCACTGCATCTTACTTGGACGCAACTTGCAGGACAATATGGTTTCTGTTCCTTAGTCATACAATACTGTTACCTTTTTCCAGAACAATGCTACGCAGCCTGCTGTCTAAGAATGACATCCACTCGATCTATACAGGGTGATGAGTGACAATTTTACAACCTGCACACTTCTTACTTAGCAAGTCAGCATAGGGTCCTCGTCACTTCCGCTTGATTGTGACGTTTTTATGGGGCTATCTTCCCTCATTTTCTTTTTTCCTTATACATTAGGGGATACTCTCTACCATTCACCTTTGCTGGTTGTACTGACGACGTTGTCCTTGGTAGTTTTGCTTTCCGCAATACTTAGCCTGAGCTAGTGTAATGGTCGTTGTAATTGTGCCTTACCCTCAACGCTTCTGAGAGCTTTTATTTACTATTTTGTCGCTGTATTCAGCTGTGAGCCGCTTTGACCGTTTTTCCTGTTTATATGTGATGGAATAAGATATATTTTCCTCATCCAGCATCTAGGTATCTTGTTAGTCTAATATGTATCCTGGTGCACGTAGGTCAGTGAAACGTTTCATACAATAAGGTTATCTTGTTATACCATTAGACTAAAATGTTTTCAGTACCACAAGTTTAGTTCTTGTCTGTGTGCGTTTTCCACTCTTCTCTGTCTAGTTTCCTTGGTCATCCTCGAATGAACTACCTCTTGCCTGTAGGGTCAATAAGGCTCATCTCCAGGCGCAACGGATTATCTAGCGACTATCCTGTTGATTCTGTTATCTACTGGTATTTCCGTAGGCACCATTTTCTCATTGAAGTTTTTTAATGTTTTTCACTCATTGCACAACAATTTATCAGAAACCTTAGCCGTCTCTTCTGCCCGCCCTGCCTTTATAATGCCCTTTTATCGCACTACACCGAACCACACTTATGTATTATCGAATCTGTCATGCTTGCTTTTTAACCGAACGAAAGCCATCAGTGTGGTGCGGTACATTTTTCTGTCTGTGCATTATTCTTATCCTCGAGAATGCTAATCTAATGCATCTGCAATAGTTGGTGCAGAATGCTGCAACTGCACCCACCCGGGTACATAACCGTTGCGATGTTCGCCTACTTAGGCACTTGGATTGTAAACGTTTTGTCACCAATTGAGGTTACAACAAAACTTAATGGTTGACAACTTCATATCAAAAGGTCGTGAAAACCAATTATTGTCCTGACCAGTATCTCATACCTTTTAGGAGTGCAAAATGCAACTCCTCAGTCCTGTAATCAGCACCTGCTTTTTGACCTTCTGATATATATATGTGCTAGCTTGTCACAGCGCTTTGTTTTCTGCTGAAGGTTGGACAAGGAACATTGGTTCGTTACACAAACTGCATCTCTTCCATGGGAAATAGAATCCTTGTCAGGCGGATTCACTTAGTGCGCTTTATTTAGTCAGAATGCCTTGAAAACATAGCAGTTGTACCCACGGACGCCGCGGGTTTTTAAATCACCGTGTGCTAGATAATACTTTTGTTTCGGCTTACTGTGTTATAAATCGTAAATTTTGCACTAATACTCTTCCTTTGGTGTACTTTCAAATCGGTGCAAATTTGGTGGATATGCACTGGATGATGTCGGAGGTCTCATTGATGCGCCCTACTGCCATATGTGTCCGCCATCTTGGATTTGCTCTACCTTGTGATGCCGTCTCAAACTACTTATGGTTCTTGTTCGAAAGTTGTTGAACATGAGGCTCATGCATTTCGCTGCTTCGGTTGCGATGCTTTGTTCCATATTTCATGCATTGGCTTATCCGTTGAAATATTTCGAAAATCTCTCAACATCCGGCATCGGCTTCTTCAAGTTATATGCGATAAATGTCGCGGTGTAAGACATCAGAATACACAGCGACCGCCAAAAAGTACGGGAAAACCTCTATTCCAGGCAGAAACAAACTCTTCACTACGTGGGGTCAAACGCCCTTCTGAAAGTACCTCTGTCACCTTACCTCCGCTTGTCACTCCGCGATCTACACCACCACCGGCTTCCTCGACCCCGGCCGAGTCTCAGGTTCAATGTTCCCTACCGATTAAAGACTTAGACTCGGAACGTACGAAATGCCGCTTCACTGATCGGTCCGTGAATTTCTCAGAGCCTGTCTGTGAACCTCTGAACACCGAGGATCCATAGACCACTCAAAAGCGCAAGGGGCGCATAATCGAGTTCAGGCTTCCCTTGTTGATAACCAACAACCTAAACCGCTTAGCGCCTCTAGTCCTGCTCCCACAAGTTTATCACCGATTTCGCTGAGGCGTCATGATCTCACGGTCTTCTAGGTACCAGAGTCAAAAGATGAAAACCTTCAGATATGTTATGATTACTATGATGAGTTCCCCCAAGGGTCATCGATAGACTCTTGGATATGAGTGAAGACAGTGTGACGATTAAACAAGTAATCCGACATGGACGGAAAACTAATCAGTCACGTCGACCACTGAGAATCACCTTTGCAAATCACAATATGTCGCAGCTCATACTGTCTCGTCTGTCAAGGCTGAAAGGCATAAAGGTTTACATCCGTTGAGACTTGGTACCCGAAGACAGGGATCGTCTGAAGACTGCGGTCATCGAACTCAAACGCCTTACAGAAGAAGATGAGACTGACTTACAACTTTAATTTTTCGCGTGAGCAGGATGGGTGTACGAACCCGTATCAACCGGTTGCTCAACCTCCAGGCACGTCCCGTTTTACCTTCCAGGACCTCGTGTGACATCCGCCAACCTGTGCAACCAAATGAACAAACGAGACGAACTATGCCGCTTCGCTGTCTCGGAGCGGCCGGAGGTTTTAGGACTTGCAGAGACTTGGCTGAACTCCGACGTCATACCCTAAGAAGTCGCGTTGTCAGGATACTCTGATATCCGATGCGACCGAAAATCAAAGGCTCACGGTAGTGTTCTGTTGTATATAAAATCCTCACTATCTGGCAAACTTACGAGGACCTATCGGAGCGAGGATAGTTTATGCGAGCAATTGTGGTGCACAATCCACCGTAGGCGCGCAGAGCTAATAGTGGGTGTTATCTACCGTAACCCATTAAACCGTCGTTGCGATTGGCTACCACATGTACAGAAGCACATGAGCCGCCCTCAGTTCTTACTGTTGGGGGATCTAAATTTACCTAAGATATTCTGGTCAGACGTTCGGCTTCTTCCTGGTCATGGTGACGTTGAGGCTCAATTCGTTAAAATGACTATTGAAATCGGGGCAACGCAACATGTCATCTACCGGACAGGAGTAGCTCCGCACTCGGCATGTTGTCTGAACCTAATGTTTACGAGCTGCGAGCAAAGGCTGCAAGAGATCAGAGTCTTCGAACCTCTGGCGAACTGTGATCACTGCTCCATTGTGGCAATTATAGAACTACTGTTACCGTATCACAATCAGCAGAAGCTGACAGTCAACTATTGGAAGACAGACTTCAACGCGCTCCTCCAAGCCGCACATCAGACTGATTGGATACTACTACACGTTGCGTCGCTTGAGGCCTGTGTACTCGGTTCGTTCCCCTGAAGTATTCAAATGTCAGACCTGTCAAACCGCATTGGTTTGATACAAAATATAGACACTTAACGCGACGGCGTCGCAAACTTTGGGATAGATACATCAGCTCGGGTTGTGATGAAGATTACACAGTGTACAAGGAACACCGTAATCTATATAACACCGCGAAGATCAAGAAACGCCGGCAGTTCAATGAGGAGCTAGCATCCTGGGCCACAACTGCACCCAAAAGAATATTTGCCTACTTGTAACGTCAACAGAAATTTAGGGGCGACCTACCGGTCTTAGAGAACTTGGACGGATAGACGCTCATTTCAAGCGCGGAGCGCGGTCGCCTTGGCTACGCACTTCCTCACCGCATTTTCCAGTAAAGCGGCGGCTGTTCCAGTACTGGCACAGGTTGTGCCGATCTTGTTCGACAGCCCACAATGTGATGCAGTCGAAGTGTATCAGCTACTCGTCAACCTCGATGGTACAAAGCCCTCCGGACCAGATGGATTTTACACACTAATACTCAAGTCACTATCGAATGTCATTCCACCAGCTGTGACAAACCTATTTAATAAATCACTCTCCGAACAATCTGTCTGCAACAACTGGAAATGCTCGGCAGTGAGACCGCTTCCCAAGGGTGATGATCAAACTAAAGTAGAGATCTATAGACCGATCTGTTTGACTTCGATATTATCCACAGTTCTCGATGCTGTAAACAGTGTGCTGCCGTTTTCCGAATCGATGGACGTATTGACGCCAGCTCAACACGGCTTTATGAAAGGACGATCCTGAATCACCAACTTGTTGTACGCAAATCCCCAGTGGGTACGAGCTCTCAACGAACGGTAGGATGTTGACCTAGTGCATATCGACTTTAGTAAGGCGTTTGACGGAGTGAACCACGAGGCACTGCCTCGTAAACTGTGGACTTACGGAATCGGTGGCACGCTACTTAAGTGATTATACGAGTTTATTGTGGGATGAAAGTTTAGAGTGCAGGTCAATGACCACCTGACAGGCTGGTTCCCATTGACCATTGGCGTGCCTCAAAGTACTGTACTTGGGCCAGTATTATTTCTTATTCATATCCACGATCTTCCGCAGCAGCTCCAGTCACCTTGTGCCCGGTTTGCAGATGATTTGAAAATCTGGAGGACCATTGCGAACGAGGGCGACTGTGCTCGCCTCTAGCATTACTTAGGTCGACTGTCATCGTGGTCCGCTGAAATGCAACTCCGTATTAACGCAGGCGAGTCGGAGTTACTCAGTATCACAAGACGTCCAGCTACTTGATCATACACCTTAGACGGCCTATTACTCCA